GTCCAGCTTCTTCTGCAACTCTGCCAGCTTGGATTCCAGTTTGGCCTCACGCCGCGAGCCAGCAGCAGGAGGACGGCCGCGGCCAGACTCCAGCCGAGGAGGGCTCCCGCCGCCGCCAAAGGACTTGGCGCGCTGCAGCACGAACGCGGGGGCCTTCGCCCCGCAGCGGCACCGCAGCCTGCACGCCCAGTTGCTGGTGAGCCCGCAGCTCTGGCAGCCCCAGAAAGGCGTCTTGGGGCCGCGGACCACATCTGCACCATCCATGAAGGCCGCCGCACAACTGCGCCTGCGACCGAATCCCTCGGAGCGCCGAGGGGCGAAAGACTTGCACCTCCAGGTGCTCACTGAAAAGCTAGCTGAGGCAGCCAGGCCAATGGAAGGGGCCGCCCTTCCACCTCAGCCTCGAGCCTGGTAAATGCGTCGTGTTATGCGCTTCAACTTCCTCTTTTGAGGGCCTCATATCACAGTAAATCTTCTTTGGTAACTCTGCCTCATCACTCACAAATACATCTTCCACATCACTTAACTCACTGTCGTTGCCCCCACTTTCACTCCCTTCGTCTCCTTCGGTATTAAAGACGTTTAAGTTTTCGCTTGGTCTTACGGGTGACGGGGGGCTTAGTAGAACAGATCCGCCTCCAGGGTTCCCGGCCGCGGAAAACCCTCAGTCACGTTCACTTCACTCCTGGGATTGACGGCTTCCGCTGGTCCCTTCGGTACTGTGATGTTGAACTGGAATGTGCCATTCTTTTCATGGATGGCTGTTAACTTGCCAGTCGCTTTGTTCATGATGCGGCTCAGGGACTTCCCGTTAGGACCCTTGTCGAACACTACTCTGTTTCCAGCGTTTACCATCTCTCTTACCGACCCTAGTACTTTGTTGACCTCTGCCACCTGAATTGGCATACTGACTGCGTTCCCATGCTCATTTTTACCTGTGATCACGCGTTGACCATAATTCTTTATCGTGGTTCCATTTGCTGCACTGTAGCGTCGTCCCTGCTTTGACGCGTCCGCATGCTTAATGGGGAAATGAGTGCCAACTTTGGGGGGCCCCACTGTGTTGTAGGCGCCGGAGTCCACGGTGACCACGATCGTCTCATGTGTTGCACTTGGTGGCGGTACTGCGTTAATCTCCGGATCACCTCCCCGCATCTCAATTAGTCCAATGTCCTTGCATTTCGCCAGCCAACTTTTTTCCTGCCTCACGCCTTTACTTATTCTTTGATCCCACTGACTAGTATGGTAACGGTCTCCGTCGTACTGGTGTTCCTGATAGATCCTTCTCATGTTTACCGCGTTGTCACGCGCCGTCTTCTTTCTGGCGTAATAGGGCAGGTCCCATTTCTCGTTAACCTCCTCGATCGCAGTCTGGTCTAGCGACACGTTCATTGCTTCCTTCATCTCGACGCTGAGAACGTGCTGTGGTTGACCGAACGAGGTGGTTTGTTCAGTTTCGGTGTTTACTACAGGCTTCTCTTGCTCGACTTCGTTGGCGGTCTTCTTGGAGCCCGGGCAGTTAATGGCAATATGCCCTTTTCCGCCACACTTGTAACATTCACGCTCACTGTGCGGGGTAAATTTCCCTTGGCTTCCGTAGTTTCCTCCCCACGAGCTACTTCCTTTACCTCCCTGTTTGCCTCCGATCTTACCTTTCACATAGGATCCGTAAGTGGCTCGGTAACCTTTGCCTTTTCCGCCTTTGCCACCTTTACCTCCTTTGGTGAACTGCTTGGGCCTCGTGCAGTTCCTGGCTAAATGGCCCATGCCTCCACAATTGTAACACCTGGGGCCCATTCCTTTACCCTTACCTTTGTTTACGGCGTCAATTTCTTCATATTCTCCACCGTCACTTTCATTGGCCCAGGACCCGTGATTCCACGATCCATCCTCTGACCACCAGTTTCCATCTTCGTCAACCCATCCTGTTTGGTCCCAAACGTTTTCGGACCCTTGACTCATCTCGTTGATATTTCCAATGCCCATTGCATCCTTATTTTTTGTATCTGAGTCAAGTTTCTTTTTACGTGCCCAGTCTTCACACTTTGAGTACAATTTCTGAAATGAGTCAATGTTAAGCGCGTCAGGCGTTCGCCAGCATGCCTGCTGCCATTCGTCAAACCAGTCATTCGCGTGTACCATTATGGCCCTGAGCGCGGTAACTTTGAAAGGAAGAGGCAGCGAGTAATCTTTGCCATATTTCTCAAGATTTTCTGCCAACGCGCTCCATTCCTCAAGTCGGGTAACGGTGTCGGTGATCTTCTTGGGCGGTTCAGGATTCATGGCATGCGTCATTTTTGATGATAAGGTCGCTCCGGTTACTGCCGAGTACCATTTGTAAACCTTTTGCCAAGCCATGATTCCGTCTCCATCCATCAGTCCCTTTAATTTTCCTCTGGCCTCCGCACCTTCAAGTTTCTCGTTCAGAATGTACCATAAGTCTTCTTCCATATGAGTCTTGTCTCCTTCGGTAAACTCATATTCGCCTTTGTTGTCGTCCTCGGCTTGCTTGGCTTGACTTGCCTTCAGGTACTCGCTTGCAGTTAATCGACCGTTCATTATGCGTATGATGTCATCATCGTCCTCTTCTGGTACAACTCCGTCAAGCGTCTCCAGCTTCTTGTTTAGCATTTTCAGTGCCGGTCGGTAACTCGGCTTCACTTGGGCTAGTGCGTTCAAGAATTTGTCGTTCCAGTCTCTGAACTTCGCTCTTTCCCCACTGAAGTTCTTTAGCGCCTGTAACGCTTTATATTCGCTTATCGGTTTACTGCTCCCGTGCTTGTTTCCGCTTCCTCCTTTGATTGCTTCCGAGATCTGACCGAACCTTTCGATCAACTTTTCTTGTACTTCACTGTTAGTCTCCAACTCGGTGACTCTTTCCACTAATCTGCGAGCATCTCTTTCGAGCGCAGCATTTCTCTTCGTGATCGCTAACAGCATACTGTTGGTCTTGTGGGCACTTTGTAACATTTGGAATGCTTCGGCGTTCGATACCTCCCTTCGGTCCTGTGCTACTCGCTCGTTAATGAACGTTGCGAGCCCAAAGTGGTTTGCGAGTAGCGCCGTTTGAACGTAACTGAAGTCTCCGTTCACGTATGCTTGCTCGCACAGGTCGTTGAATCGATTCGGATCCATGTTGACCCAAGCATCTCTGTCTGCCGGCACATTGAGATTAACTGGCGGGTCGCCCTGTCCAGGTCTGGCCGCAGCTGCCGCTGCCGCTGCCATGGCAACCGCGCTCCGCTACCATGCAAAACCCCGAGGAGGGTTCTGCACGGGAGCTTGGCGACAATGATAACGATAGGTCACCTTTATACTCCCGAACTGCGCAACTGGTCGATGTGACTTCGACCGTTAAACACTTGAGCCAAAGGCAGCGGGGTTACTATTCCTCCCCTGTCACACGCATGCTTGCATGTTAACACCTCCTCCTCCTCCTCCTCCTCGTTTCTCCTTTCTCCTTTCTCCTCCTCCACCTCCTTCTCCTCCTCCTCCTCCTCCTCCTCCTCCTCCTCCTACCTGGGGGTCTCTCCTCCCGTCGCGGGTCCTAATGCAAAATCCTGGTCTGCTCATCCGCCCCCACGGGCCGGGCGCCCCTGGGGGAGTGGGGGGGCAGCATCCCTTTGGAGTCACGTGCCAGCAGCGTCTGCGTCAGCAAGGGCTCCCAACCTCGCGCTTCGCGCTGCGCGAGGCGCGAAGTGCGAATGACTGCGCGCTCTCGCGCCGCCTCCCAGGGCAGGAGTTGAGGATGAAGGATCGGAACCGAACCGCGAAGCGCGAATAACTTCGCGCCCTCGAGGGCGCCCTTGGTCAGGGGATGATCGAAACGTGGGAGGAGAAGGGAGCCGACGTGGTAGCGTGGGGATGAGACGGAATGGGCGACTTGGTTGGGGTCGATGCTCCAGCTCCCCGAGCCAGCCCCCCCCCCTGTCGAGGCCCCTGGGCCCTGATTTCCGCCGATCTGAATTTTGCAGTCTGCGACCCCAGAAGTCCTGACCGCTTCCCCTGATCTGTTTTTGATGGTCCTAGCCCCCGAGAAATGCCCCGAAGGGCCGAAGTCGAGGAACAAGTAGAAGACTGAAACAAACATATCGTCCGAGATCTGGGAGAGAAGCTGAACGAACCCTACCAAAAGGGACGACCTGGCCAATAAGTCTTGACCCCTTTGTTCGCCGCTTTTCGAAAATCAGGGGCCCAACGAGGGCCCTGATGGGGATAACAAAACCTTCCGTCGTGAACGTTTCAAGACGTCGGAGGTCTGGGGATAAGCTCAATCCTCCCCCAAGGAGAGGCTCAACCCTCCCCCAACAGAGGGGCAACGTTCGGGCAGGACCAGTCCATGGGGGGGGACACATCGACCTGGAATCGGCGATATATCCCCGACAGATCGCCGACCCCGATAGCAAATCCGAACGGTCATAGGCGGGATTGGCCATCGGGCCCCTGTCGACCATTAATCTGCGATTGGGGGTCGATGCGTCCCCCCAAAGCCCATCACCCCTAATGTTGCCCCTGACCGTTTGGCCAGATAGGGCTTCACAGTGGGCAGCGGGGACTCGCCGCAAGCGTCTCCGATAGCCACGCAACCGCCCTACGATAAGACCGCACGTGGCGGAGCTCTCTTCGCTCTGTCCGCGCTGTCGATGCAAATGGCCGCCGTCGCGGCGCCGCCGCCGTTGTTTTAAGCAGGGACCGACCGTCCCGGCATTCCTGCAGGCCGACCTCGAAATCTTCATAGAACGAAAACAACGAAGACAACGTTCTTACAACATCAAGCCGATGGAATCAAGCGGTCTCAGCCGCACAGGTTCTAAGAACATGCCGTGCCAACCACACACAGGTTCTCAGAACATTCTTTGGTGGGCCTGTGGGCAAAGCCAGGACGCCTCGCCACTGCTTGACCGTTGCCGCTGCCATTGCCGCCACTGCCCCCTGACGCTGCCCCTGGCGAAGGCACACGGCTCGGCCGACGGTCTCCCCCCCTCCCAGGGCCGGCGAGCCTTTCTCCTGCGCGCGGAGCTGCGCCATGGACCTCGGCAGCACGTTCGGCTGACCCTCCGCGGAGCGCGCAGGGTGTGCGGCACGAGGGCTCTCGGCTCCACGTCGGAGGCTGCTACAGGTGCTCCTGGCCAGAGGTGCCCCCAGCCTTTCGCTCAATTCTAAAGCCACTGGGGCCCTCTGGGCCTCGCGAGGGGTGCTCTGGAGGCCGCGGGGCCTCCCTGGAGGACATACTGGGGGGTTACCTTTGGCCAGTGGCACTTCCAGCAACAACCGACATCGGCGTTGGGCGTGGAGGCCCAGACTTCCGGCGTTTTGGAACAACATGTTAGCCAGAGAGTGCCCCAAGCAGGAGGGCATATACTTGCAGATGTATAAGCAATGCGGTGCCAGCTATGTGGAGCAACCATGTGGTGCAACATACGTGGTGCAAACTAGAGGCGGTAACGAAACGGCAACTGGCGGCAACGTGGCAAAGCCTGGCCAGAAAATTAAGCGCACGAGAACGCAACGCGGCGGCAACGGGCGACATCGTTCCGAAACCTAACCAGCCCCCCCTAAATTCTTTTGACGCAACCAAAGACACCTAAATGCAAACACTGCTTTAGGAAACGCAAACTGGTTGTTCTCACATGTTGTCCGGCCTCGCCCTCACCAGCGAACTCGGGCTGCAAAACCTGCCCCGGGGATGGGGTCGGGACTTCGGCGGACTGCGCGTGGAAAAATCCAAGCATCGAATGTCTGGGAAGCCGACGGGCGTGTTGGAGCGTTCCGGCCATGCCCGAGGGGCCGAGCTGCACCCATCCACGCGAGCGTATCCCACGTCAGGCCCCCCGACTCGACATGCACGCCCGCGCCGATGCAAGCTTCACACCGCCAGCGCGACGCAACTACGGCCTGGCCGAGGACATACTAGCATCCTTCAAGAACATGAGACACTCCGCCGGCCAAACTGGCGAATTTTCGAGGGTGCCCCTCCCCCAGATGCACAAGAAAATCCAGCAAACACGGACAGCATCGAGGCCCACTCTTCGAACCGACCTCGATCTTTTACCGCGGTCGGACCGTACTGCTCTCCTCTCTGGTCAGTAACACGCGCTGGGGCGAGGGTGGACGAGGACGGAGGGAAGGGGGAGGGGGCGAGAGAGAAGTGGGATGTGGCGGGGGAGGAAGCTTTCGAAGGCCTCGTGGGTGACGGAGGGAAAAAAGACGGGGGCGGCCAATGGGGGGCCATGCAGGAGGCTACGAGGTGGCCAACGCTTGTGATGACTACACAATGGCTCCCGGTCGGACAAGAATATTCCAAGTATGGAAAATCTGCGATTCTGAATCATGATTTTCCCAACCATCCTGTGGGGTTGGGACCTCGTTTTGAAGAGACGGCGCCCCGCGTCTCCTTCCTGCCCACTCCTCTCCTCGTCCTCCCCCTCCTCCCACCTCCCCCTCCTTGCATCTGCCCTCCGCATGTTTCCGTTTCGGCATACCCAGTACAGCAATTCGTTACCCCATAAGGAGCTCCATCGAAGGCCCCAGTGGCAGGGTTCGCATGTCGCCACCGCACCAATTTCGGCACACCCCTCACACGTTTCGTGGCCCCACAAGGAGCTCCACCGAAGGCCCCAAAGGCAGGGCTCGCATGGCTCCACCGCGGATATTGCGGCACACCCCTCACACGTTCCGCGGCCCCATGGTGGGCTCCACCGAAGGCCCCCGTGGCAAGGTTCGCATGGCGTCACCGCGGCCATTGCGGCACACCCCTCACACGTTCCGCGGCCCCATGGGGGGCTCCACCGAAGGCCTTCGTGGCAGATCGCAAGGCGCCTCCGCGCCCATTTCGGCAAACCCCTCACATGTTCCGCGGCCCCATGGTGGGCTCCACGGAAGGCCCCAATGGCAGGGTTCGCATGGCGCCACCGCACCCATTTCGGTACAAAACTCACACGCTTCGTGGCCCTTTTGGGGAGCTCCATCGAAGGCCCCAGTGGCAAGGTTCACATGACGCCACCGTACCCATTTCGGCACACCCCTCTTATGTTTCGCGGCCCCATGGTGGGCTCCACGGGAGGCCCCAGTGGCAAGGTTCGCATGGCGCCTCCGCGCCCATTTCGGCACACCCCGCACACGTTCCGTGGCCCCATGGGGGGCTCCACCGACGGCCCCAGTGGCAAGGTTCACATGGCGCCACCGCACCCATTTCGGCACACCCCTCACACGTTTCGCGGCCCCATGGGGAGCTCCACGGAAAGCCCCAATGGCAAGGTTCGCATGGCGCCACCGCACCACTCTCTCGGCACACCCCTCACACGTTCCGTGGCCTCATAGGGAGCTCCAGAGAAGGCGGAGCTCACAACTGCGGTACCCACAATTGCAGATGTATGGGTCCGTCGCCAAGATCATTTCAACACGGGCTCCCTGGAAGTCTTGACACCTTCCAAAGAACTACTTGTTTGGTCCCGATTGTTCGCTGCATTTTCTGAACAAGCAGATACGGAAAACAACTCAAAAAGATCGCACGAACTGGATCAACGAGACATTGATTTGATAGGTGAAACTGTCGGGCCTTGAAAATAACATCGCAGGATACTGCAGGCTAAACACGTCGAACGACGAGACCTGAACAACACCCTCACCGACACGGCTGGCTGGCCAGATGCTCTAGCAGATGATTTAAAGAAATTTCAGTGGGAGGTCGAGATCACAACTGTTTCCCCTTCTGCCTCAGACGCTCTTGGCGGCGAACTGGCTGCGGCCATATCGAATTGTATATTGGATGAGCGCTAATCTTCTTTGAAGAGGATGAAGCGTGGAACAACTTCTAGTCAAAAGGACGTCCCTCCAGATTTAGGAGACATGGCTTCTCAAGATAATGACTCATGTGTGGTTCGTCGCGAACTTAAAACAAACACCCCAAACGATCCGGACACATGGATAAGAGCGGAACACCTAAAGTGCTCAAGCAACAATCGCCCAGTCTCTCTCCTGGCAGCTCGGTATAGAACGCTGGCTACAGTGATCCATCAAGGACCATTACGAGGGGGAGGGGGGGCAAAGACCAGGTGCACAACCTAAGATTTGGATATTGACCTCGACGAGGCACGGCCGACGCTCTCGTGGTGATCGGGCGGATGTTGCATGCAAATGCCCTCAACGAAGGCGACGGCACATTCATTGTGTGAGCCGCCCAGGCGGAAACTTTCGACAGGTTTAACCCGCAATGTTGGTTTGGAGAATTGGTTCTGTTTGGAATCCTGCTCCCAAGTGGTGCGGATGACCGAACGAACGTATTCGGAACACTTCTTCACGTGGATCATTGTGGATGGCCCGAAGAAGGACGACAAGCATCTGGCACAACGTAGGGGTCCCTATATCTCCATATCTGTCATTGCTGATCTCAAACAGCCATGTTGCACGATGTTGATCGCGAACCACACCTACAATGCGAACTCGCATATATGGCAACGCGAGGGGAACTGTACGCAGACGACACATTTCTCATTTCAAAAGACACACATCAGATGAGACCAAACAGAGAACATATCAACATTGTCAACCAAGCGATCTACCTTGAGGTTTGACTATCAACGTGTGTCGCGTGGGACACAAGCTTAATATACGATTGGGAGAAGGCAACGCTGTATTGCGAGAGTTGCGCAACATTTGAAACCGTCATTCAGTTGGCAGAAAGAGAAAACAACACACATATACATAATACGCACAATATGCGTTATCAGCACAGCTGTTACGACGTATTTTTGGGAATCCGCATGGTTGCTAACAAGTTCCCAGATTGTGCTTGCACTTAAAGGGGTTCTTACCTCTTTCCTGAGTTCAAGAACTGGGCCTGGGGCTGGTCTGGCGGCTCGCGTCGCGGTAACTGCTCCGTCGCCGCCTCGTCGCCGCCCGTCTTCTGGGCCCGCGTGCCGGTCTGGCAACTCCGCGCTCGCCGTCGCCGCCCCGTCGCCGCCTCGTCGATGCATTGCGTTGCTCTGCCTGGCTTTGCATTGCATAGCGTTGCTTTGCTTTGCCTTGCGGTGCTTGGCATGGCATTGCTTCGCATTGCTGTAGATTGCTTTGCGTTGCTTTGCTTTGCTGTAGATTGCTTTGCGTTGGTGTTTGCATTGGTTTGCATTGCCTTGCTGTGTCTTGCTTTGCATTGCTCGGCATTGTCTTGCTTTGCGTTGCTTTGCTTATAAATCACAACGTCGATGGGACCACATAGATTGCACAACATACATTGCACAGCAGAACCACTTGCTCCGCAGCGAATGAATCATATATATATATATATATATATACTTGCCCCCCCCAGCACCCCCAAACGACGGACTGGGGAGGGGGGGGTGCATCCTCCTCATCTTCGTCGTCCTTCTCATCGTCCTCCTCTCCTCATCCTGATCTCCTTATCTCCTTATCTTATATCCTCCTCCTCCTGCTGCTCCTCACCCTCTGCTTCTCTCGTAGGGTGCACGTCCCCTGGAAGAGCTCCAAGCGCGACGGCGCTCTGCTTGAGGGAGTTCAGCGTTGCTGGGCGACCTAGAATCAGTGAGAATCAACCGCGCCTTCTGCGGTGCAAGGGGCATCCGTTTTTTGGATGCCCCCGTGGAAACCCATGAGGGCGCCCAGCAGGGGACCCAGCAGGGGACCCAGCAGGGAACCCAGGAGGGGACCCAGGAGGGGATCCAGGAGGGGACCCAGGAGGGGACCACGCAGGGGACCCAGGAGGGGACGTCGTCCTCTCCTCATCCTGATCTCCTTATCTTATCTCCTCCTCCTCCTCCTCCTGCTCCTCACCCTCTGCTTCTCTCGTAGGGTGCACGTCCCCTGGAAGAACTCCAAGCGCGACGGCGCTCTCCTTGAGGGAGTTCAGCGTTGCTGGGCGACCTAGAACCAGTGAGAATCAACCGCGCCTTCTGCGGTGCAAGGGGCATCCGTTTTTGGATGCCCCCGTGGAAACCCATGAGGGGGCCCAGCAGGGGACCCAGCAGGGGACCCAGCAGGGGACCCAGCAGGGGACCCAGGAGGGGACCCAGGAGGGGACCCAGGAGGGGGGCCCAGGAGGGGACCCAGGAGGGGACCCAGGAGGGGACCCAGGAGGGGACCCAGCAGGGAACCCAGGAGGGGACCCAGGAGGGGACCCAGGAGGGGACCCAGCAGGGAACCCAGCAGGGGACCAAGGAGGGACCCAGCAGGGGACCCAGGAGGGGACCCAGGAGGAGACCCAGCAGGGGACCCAGCAGGGGACCCAGCAGGGGACCCAGCAAAGGGACCCAGCAGGGAACCCAGGAGGAGAGCCAGCCAGGAGACCCAACAAGGGACCAAGCAAAGGGACCCAGAAGGGCGGCGCGGAAGGGCAAGAGAGGGGGAGGGAGCAGGGGGCAGGACAGAGGCGGAGGAGCAATGATGTTTTATGAAGCGCTCGCCCGTAACCTCTTTTGGCCCTTGCCCCTCTCGCCCCCCCTCGCTCCCGCTTCAGATTGCAGAATGATGAAGCTTTCTCTGGCTCAAGTGACGGGCGGCCATCCAGGACCAGAAGGCGAAGAAGGTCAAAAAGGCGGTGAAGAAGACCGCATACAGCCCTCCCAAGCGCATTCCCTACGTGAGGCACGGGGTCCGCACGGCCAAATCTCGGAACGAGAGGATGAAGTGGTGCGCGGGGCTGTCCGACTTCATGAACAGGGGGCAGAATCACGTGATCGACGTGCTCAAGAAGCACGGCCCCTTGCCAGAGTGGGCAGGGGCCAGCTGCCCGCATTGCACCAAGGGCACCCTCGGTAATCTCAAGAAGTGGTCTGACAAGCAAGGCGGATGGGGCCACAGGTGCAGTCACAGCGGGTGCCATCGGCACGTCTTGCCGCACGCGTTCCACCCGGTCTTCGTGGCGGGCACAGGGCAATCGCACGCGCCCTTGCGAGATCAGGCGTCCGCCTTATTCTCGGCCGTGGCGGGGGCCTCGCAGGTGTGTACTGGGCGCCTCGTCGGTAAGAATCACAAGATGGTCGAGGGCATTTACGGGCGCCTCTACGCGACGAGGGGCAGATACGTTGCGGCGAAGGAGAAGACCACCAAGTTCGGCCAGGGCGAGGCCTGGAAGGACATCGAGGCCGACGAGGTGGACCTCGCGAAGAAGGTGTCCGAGGACGGCGGCTCCAGCCCTGTCGATTGGGAGCAGTGGGGCGGGATCGTGGAGAGGGGCGCCCCAGACACGCTCGTACTCTTTAGGCTGAAGCCCATGCAGGCGAAGAAGAGGGCGCCAGGCCCAGGGGCCATTCGCAAACGGGACTGGATGCCCGCGGCGACGAAATGGCTCAAGGGCCGCCGCGTCATTCTGCACACGGACGGCGCCAAGAGTTACAGGGTCAAGCTGGGCGGCGTGAAGCACGACTACGTCGTCCACTGCCGCAAACGCGTCAAGGTCAACGGGAAGCACACGTGGGTGAGGCCGAAGTACGCAAAGCCCCGTTTCCATAACATTGCCGAGGACGCCGCGCCCAAGAAGAAGCTGTGGGTGATGGCTGGGACGCAGGTCATCGACCGCTGCTGGTACGGTCTTCGCAAGCACATCGGCAGCGTCAAGGTTGTCAACACGCACTCGCTCCGCCAGAAGATCCGCTCGTTCCAGTGGGAATACTGGAACCGCGGTGCCGACTACTGGCAGCGCACGGGGGACATGCTGAGCGACTTGTGGCACAAGGACTTCGGCAAATGAGCCCGCGCGGCTCGGCCTCGCGACGCGGGGCAGCCAGCGGGAGGCAGCAATCGGCCAATGCTGCCCCGCTAAGTTTATGAGACCTGCACGCGCACGACATCTCCCCCATTAAGAAACGAGGGGCGTGGGGGGCACGCGCGTAGGTTTCGATTTGCTCTATGACGTCATGACTAGCTAAACGCAATTGCATTCAACAGTGTCGACGCGAGCCTTGCCACCTCGCAGCAATGACAACGTCCTTGTCGGCATCCCTCTGCTCGTAATCGTTTTGGCTCAATCACTGGGTTCAGCAGTTAGTGCTGGCTGGCAGTCGACAGCCCTTTGTTCCGAGCCCTTGCCATGGCGGCGTACGAGTGCGCCTGCGTCGGGAACCCAGCGCATGGCGCGGGTGCGCAACCAGACATCGAGTGGCGCAAGATCGGGCCCCGCCAGTCTTTGCGCCTGGCAGCCGGCGAGGACGGGGAAGGAGAGGAGGAGGACGGCGGTGGCGGGGGGCGGGGGGGGGATTCTGTCGGCCTCGCCCCCAGGACCGCTTCACCGTGTGCGTGTGGCCACGCTTTTTCGATTACGTCAAGACCGCCGCCCTGTTCGTCGCGCACGGTGTCGAGAGCTACATCTGGGCCACAGCGGACCCAGCCATGGACCCCATCATCGTGCGCGCGTGCATGTCCTTGGAGGTCCACGCGACTCTCCTCGACCGCGACGACCAGGCGCTTGCCTCGTCGCGATCAGCGCGCGACGTCTGGTCGATGCCGCCGATCCGATCGCTATGATTGCCGATGCTGTTGTTAGCAATCATTTCGACGCGATCGAACCGAGCGACCCGACTCCGACAGGCGATTTCGAATATCTGGCCGATGCGATTGCCATCTTCGCTTCCTTCCAAGGCTCGCACTTGCACAGTTCGTCTGACGTCTCCTGGCATCGTTGGATGGTGGATCGTCAGGGAGCTGGACTGGTCGACGACTTGGAGCTGGGTGGAGCGGCGCGTCCAGGCCGAGCTGGGCTTACCGCCTCACCGCCACGTCGTGTTCGAGGCTGAGGGCGTGCAGCCGTCGCGCCGCATGCGCGTTGGCCCGTCGCTCGGGTGCCGCGCCGTGCGCCGCCGCTTCGGGTGAGGCGCGGGCTCGGCGCGCGGCCCCCGACGTTCGCGTGGGGCACTATATATATATATTGTTTGATGAACATGAGTTTGGGTTGCGCACATTCCACCGCCCGCGGAAATGTGCGCCTCGGACAGCGGTGCGTCTGGGCCTTGCCCCACCCGCTCCTCCACCCCGCTTCATGTGTAGAATGCCGCAGCAGTTTCTGGCTCAACTGGCATCGGCAGCCGCCTTCGCGGACGATCAGGCTGACCGACCACTGCGTTCTGAGACCCCCCCTTCGCAATGGCTCCAAAGGCGGCGATGGAGGCGCCGAACGTGCCAGCGCAGGGAATGAGGTGCTTGGGTTTGTGGCTGGAACACCCCAACCACACGAACGACAAGCTCGTGGAGGCATGGGATCTCGCCAAGGAGAAGGCAAATCCAGTCGTCCTCGGCAAACCCGACGTGGACGGCGCCGTGGGCCGCGACCCCGTCGGGTCCGCATCGTTTTTCGACTTGCCGATCAAGCACTGGAACTACAGGCCGAGGGCGTACATCAAGACCGCTGCCGACGTGATCACTGAGGCGCCTGGGATGGAGGCAATGGCGTGGGATGACGTGAAGCAGATAATGGATGAGGGCAGGTATAAGGACTTGCCGCCTCCTCTTGGCTACGCGAGCACGGAGGACGAGCTGCCTTGCACTATGAACATGTTGGTTTGCAAGAACCCTTCCGACCCGCAATCGCACATCATCTTGAAGCACTTCACGTCCCTCGGCAATGGGCACACCATGAGCGAGATCCAGAGCAAACTCATCCAAGGCGACGCTTGCGCGATTGATTTCAGGCCAGACAGGTTCAACAGCATGCGCACCTTCCAGATCTTGCTCGAGTGGATGGGCGGCATTCTGTTTCGTTATTGGAGGTGCGAGCGCCCGAGCGCGGTGCGTGGGCCTGTCGGCGAGGGCGACGTGGCGCAGAAGCAGAAGGAGCTCGCCGACGCGATGCAGCACACCAAGGATGAAGCGCCACGCACGAACTGGGATGGCGAGCAGCTGTTGTGGGTGGAGCAAGAGTACTGCGACCCAGCATCCCCCCTGGCCAACGTGAGGAAGGAGTTCGTCAACAAGGCGCTCCAGATACTCAAGGACAGAGACCACTTCGCGGCGAAGGAAACGCACTACCCCTTGCTGAAGGGAGACATCCGCAACGAGTACCAGCCAGTCATTGACAGGATCCCCCGCGCACTTCTCGGCAACACTGTCGTCTTCATTGGCGAGGCCAAGTTTGGGAAGACGCCGTTGATGCACATCTTGGCCATGGCGATGGCGAGGTACCACGCCGACTGCGTGAACGAGAAGCGCGGCCGCGTGGTCGCCACTCCAGCCGTTCGCGTTGCCTCGGAGATGGATTTATTCAGAGGAGAGGTCCGAGGGTTGTGAAGTTGCCGATCGTCGCTCTTCCGAGTCAGGCTCGGAAGCGCCATGAAATGCTTCTTCAGATCCCTCCGAAGGCTGGCGAGACCTGGGTTCCCTGCGTGTTCGACGACGGCGACTTGTCTGACCAGCGGCCGCGCGTGTTGAAGGCGTTCTTCGACCCGACGCAAGTCGAGTCGAACGTCTACGTGCGCTGGGGCGCGGCCAAGTTCAAGAGGAACCAAGCTCGCTTCGGAGGCGATAACGAGTACGACGCCGAGAGCGAGCCGAGCCAGACCGACTGGCACTTTGCCTCAAGATCTCCCGAGAAGGAGAAGCGCACCACGGCCTACCTGGTGGAGATGATCAAACCCGCCTTCCCGAAGAACCTGTCGTTCAGCAACGTCGGCGCCATGCTCAAGCGCAGCAACATATGCCTGAACACGAAGTACAATCTGTATGTCCGTCCATGTGGCACGTTCGCGCTCGTGGAGAAGCTTCCTCTCTTGGACGGCTACACCACCCCTGAAGCGGGCAAGCGCCTCCAGAACTGCCTGCGCAACAATGTGAGGCGCGACCAGGAAGAGTTCGACAACCTCCTCGCGTTCGAGAAGCGCGACATGCTGAAACTGATGGCGGACGCGAAGAAGGAGTTCAAGGAGGACGGGGGCGATGCCGACGACCAGCCCGCCCCTGAGCCAGCGCGGCCCGCTGCCCCTGTCCAGGACGAGGATGAGGACGTATTCGGCTTCGGTGGCGACATGGACGCACCTCTCGAGGAGGCCCCGCGCGCCCCCCCCCCCCCCCCCCCCCCCCCCCCCCCCCCGAGCGCCGCGATGAAGACGGAGCCAGGCGCCTGCAAGCGCAAGGTGGGGACTGGCCACGGGGAGATCGATTTGTGCACGCCGTCCCCGAAGCAGCCCCGCACGGACATCAAGAGCCGCAGGCAGGGTGAGAAAGCCGCGCTTGACCTCTTGGTCGCGGAGTTCTCGAGTGAGATTCCAGGCGAGGGCGCTGCCAGCCATGGCTCAGGCCGCTGAGCTTGAACAGAAGGCCTTCGAGCGAGGGCGGCGCTGCCGCTTTTGGCTCGGGCACTCATGGGGCGCGCGCCGCCGCGGTGGCGCGCGCCCCTGTGCCCCAGATGAGCCGCTAGCCCGCTGCGTCGCACCTCGCAGACCTATTATCGAGCGCGGATTCATGCGCGTGCCATGCTGTTTCATGGCGAACAATTGTTGCGTCGTCGTCGTCGTGAAGCACATCGAAGGGAGTCTATTGGATCTTATTGTCCTTTCTTCTTCCTTGTTGCAAAGCAAGAAAACCAAACATACACTGTGTTTGGTGCCCTCGGTGCAAGGAAACGCTGTGTTTTTTGGTTTGAGAAGCAAGGAAACGCTGTGTATTTTTGCGTTTTTTTTTTAATATATTCGTTTGGTTTTGCAAGCCCCTTTCCTTTCCTCTTCCTTGTTGCAAAACAAGAAAACCAAACATACACAGTGTTTGGCGCCCTCGGTGCAAGGAAACGTTTTTTTTTGTTTGAGAATCAAGGAAACCTTGTGCATGTTTTTGTTTTGATTTTTTTGTATTAGAAGCCCCGACGCTCGCACCAGCCTCCCTCCCAGCACCCTTAGAGCTTGCAAAACCAAAACACACACACACAAGGTTTCCTTGATTCTCAAACCAAAAAAAAAACGTTTCCTTGCACCGAGGGCGCCAAACACTGTGTAGTTTTGGTTTTCTTGGTCTGAGGCGCATGGAAGGGTGCCGAGAGGGAGGCCAGCGCGGGCATTCGGGCTTGCAAAACCCCCCCCCCAAAAAAAAAAACACAGCGTTTCCTTGCTTCGCAGACAAAAAAATGTTCCTTGCACCGACGGCGCCATACACAATGCATTTTAGGTTTCCTTGGCTTGGGAGACGCAGGGAAGGAGGAGGAGGAGGAGGAGGAGGAGGAGGAGGAGGAGGGGAGGAGAAGGAGGGGGAGGAGGAGGAGGAGGAGGAGGAGGAGGAGAGCGACGAGGAGAAACGATCAGTGAAGATTTTGTGGTTTGAGGAGGAGAGCGACGAGGAGAAACGATCAGTGAAGATTTTGTGGTGTTGGTGGTTTGGGGGTGCTGGGGGGGGGGGGCGACCATATATATATATATGTGTGTATATATATATATATTGCTCCACATATATTTCGCAATCAATGTCGCTGTAAACGCACTGTTTGGGGTCCACGCTGGCTACTATATTGGAAAGAAAGCGGCTAGGCGCGTTTCACTGCACGTGCTTGAGCAAATTATTGGGCCTCCCGCGTTCTTGTTACTCGATCGTCGAACGCTATTATTATCTGGCTTGCTGGTTCCAAGCCCCTTTTCTGACATCTCACCAGACTGGCAGGTACTGCAGGTCTCCAGAGGACCGCTGCCTAAGACAACAGCTCCCTTGTTGAATACCTTGTGTGCGACGAGGGCGGCGCCCCCAGCAGCTGGGCAGAGCACAGACGGAGGGGCAGACCCAGACAACAATGGACCGAACCAGCATACAACGAACAATGACAATCAAAACATCTTCGACGCTGTCATGGCACTTGTCTGACCTGCCGCACTGGCAAGCAAAACCCGGCGGTGGACAAACCTCCCTTTAGCAAACCACCCTTTGGTGAAAACGGCCTGGGACCGAAACCGACGGACCCGGACCCGCAAAAATGACGGGCCGCGACGCCCTCTCGCGAACTGAAAGCGGCCAATTCGCAAACACGGCGCGTCAGGGTAGGAGGTCTGTCAACCTCCGAAAAACAGCCAATCCATCATCATCACGTACGGCGGGCTCGTGTCGTGACGACCCCGGCGTTGGCCTCTGACGCCGCGTCGATCGTTCAACCTTGAGCGATCGGTGGCTTTCCGATCGCCCGACCTTTCCATGCAGGCCGATTCTGGGCCACTGGCGGCGCTCAACCTTGCACGCCCGCGGCGGGGTCTTCGCCGGTCGACGCGACGCGAACCTGCCGCAGCTGTTTCGAGCAGCGCGTTTGGCGCACTGCGCCCCCGGGTGCGTTTTTGGCGTTCCACGTCGGGCATATGGACTGTGCAATTTCCTGTTCGGGGAGGGACAGACCTCCCGTTAGTAAAACGTGGTTCAGTGAAAACGACCTGAGGCCCAAACCTGGCGGGCGCAAGCCTGGAAAATAACGGCCAGGGCGCCCTGTCGAGAACCGACAACGGACAATTCACTGATCGACGTGTCACTGTTGGGGGCTCTGTCCACCCCCGACCTGGTTCTGCCTCTGCCTCGTCCTCGCCTCCCCTGCCGCCGCGCTGCAGCGCATGCGCGTGAATTTCCCCCCTCGCGATGGCCAAAGTTGGATGTCGTGCCGACGCGCCCTGCTGGACGCGTGGCCTGGGTGATTGGGCGTGGGGCCTGGCGAGGGCCCCCCCCCCGAGGCCGCGAGCGGCAAAGCACCTCCGCGTGATTCTTTCTCGGGGATGGACAGAACCCCCGTTAGTAAAACGTGGTTCAGTGAAAACGACCTGAGGCCCAAGCCTGGCGGGCGCAAGCCTGGAAAATAACAGCCGCGGCGCCCTCTCGAGAACCGACAACGGACAATTCACTCATCGACGTGTCACTGTTGGGGGTTCTGTCCACCCCCGACTTTAAGCACGGTGGAGGTCGGGGTGCGCCTTCGAAGGTCCGCGCGGCCACGAGAAAAGGAAAAACGTTTCGAAGCCCCCCCTTCAGCCAGGGCCCTCCAGCTGGAAAAGCCAACAGAAGGAAGGGAGGGGGGGGTAGCTCCGGAATCCTCCCTGGGAAGGTTCGCCCGGGCTCACCCCGGGCCCCGAACAGGAGGAGAGGTGGGGGTAGCTTCCAAGCCGCCCTCCATACTTGAGCCAGGGACCCCCCCAGCTACAAAATCCAAGCAAAACAAAAAGGAAAGGGTTATCTTCGGAAGCCCCCCCCTCATTGAAAGGGGAGCCCGGGCTGACCTTGGGCTCGGGAAAAGGAGGGGGGTAGCTTAGAAGCCCCCCTAGCTAGGGCCCCCCTAGCTCCAGAATGCCCACAGACGGAAGCGAGGGGGGGGTTTAACTTCGGAAGACCCCCCCCTTTCCAAGCGAGGGAGAGGGGGTAGCTCAAAGCTGGGGCTCCCCCTTGAGCGAGAAGTGTGCCACGAGCGCGCTCTTACCTACATCGCTACTCCCCGGACATCTCTGACCAGACTTTCGAGGCGAATCCAGCAGTGGCGACAAGGCCCAAAAAGGCAAACACCAAGGAAGGGTAGCGGTGTCGGTACCTTCCTACTCCGAGATTTATGCTGTTCCCGTCCTACTCAAGGACCGCATCCCAGAAATAATTTCGAGCACCCAGGAAAGTGTCAAAAGAGTGTCGAAACAGTGTCGGGCGAACGTCTCCCAGGGCCCGGCACGTGAAAACCCCCGAGTTTCGGTCCTTTTTTGGCCGCTCGAAATTCTTCCTGGTGCTCAAGGCCTAAAAGTCGGTTGGAGCATCATCATCTGAGATGCGCTCGAAGCGAGCGCCTGAGGCCACCAGATCGGCTAATGTCACAGGCCTACCGCGGAATCGTGCCACTTTGAGCTGGGGAGAGCTGCGGGCACAGCACGGGGGGGACTCCCGTGCTCCACCCACGCGGGGTGCACTCAACCGGGAGCGGGGGACACATGTGGCCTGGCGCGTGCGTGGGCGACCTACCGCGGGGGGGTGGGAGGGGGAGGGGAGGGACGGGAGAAGGGAGGGAGGAAGGGAGGACGGAGGGAGGGAGGGAGGGAGGGAGGGAGGGATGAGGAAGGGGAGAAGGGAGGGAGGACGGCGGAGGGAGGACTGGCGGAGAAGGGACCCCGGCCTCGTGCTTGATGGCGCCGCGCAGCAGCTCCTCCAGGGACCTCTGCGGCAGCCGCAGGCACAGGAGCAGCTCGTGGACGTGCGACGCCCACAGATCGAGCGCGAGCCGCGGGTCGGCCATGGGCTGCACCTCGGAGGAAGAAGTGCTGATGCCGCTGCCCTTCCCTCGTTCTCGCCCCTCTGGGCCTCCTCGGGCGCCCTCGTCGCCGCGGTTGGATGTTAGTCGGGCATGCCCCCCTACAGGCAAATGTTTGAGCGAACAATGAAAAACAAATAGTTCAAACATAATCAAACACCAGACTATTTTTCGACTGCTTTGGAATATTCCTCCTGTGGAGGGACAGGCCCGACTTAAGGCTGGATTCGCCTCGAAATCCTAGTCATGTGGGGCAGCGATACGAGGGACCTGAATCAGAAGAACATCGACCAGGAATCGGCGACACATCGCCGGAAGATCTGCGACGGGCCAACGAGGGCCAATCCGCGTTTTCCTGGGCCCGGCGGGGCGTCAGGCCCCTGTGGGCGATGAAGTGGCCATTGGAGGTCGATGCGTCCCCCCTGAGTCCATCCCCCCAAATTGCCATCGCTCGGACGTCCATTCCCCGTGCATGTGTCGATCCCGTGCGTTTCTTGTTCGCAGGATGCTACAGGATGCTCCTGGGTGGTCCCCGCCGAGAAACACTGCACACGTCCGAACAATGCCAAACCCATGGCCCCCGAGGTCAGAACGCACACCGGGAGAGGCCCGGGGAGTTGTAGGTATCGGTGCCATTCGGCTTCCCCAGCACCAGCCGCGGGGGCCCAGGCACGAGCAAGCTCCTCGCGGGGCCGAGGGCTGCACATCTTGAGCAGAGGCCGAGCGTCCTGACTTTCTGGCAGGCCCACCACGACACGTTCTCAAAACAGCAGACTGCGTTATCAGCACAAGGGTTGCCCTTGGAACGCGGAACCGATGGACCCCACCACCCATCTGCTCTGGGCGTAGGTGGTTTGACGAGTTGTTGTCCTCTCTGTGCCCAAGATTATTCCTTGCCCTGCTCGGGGGAGGGGTTTTAATCACTTGTCCTTACTGATATACACCCCCTCCCCCACCCGACGGTGGGCCAACCCGAGACACGCCACTCCCCCACCATCCCTGCCAACAACTATGCAGAATGCCCTCCAAATCTGGTGCATGCGCGGACGCCCCGCGACCACTCTGACTGACTGGTTAACTCGGACAGTGGGGCGCGCCGTCACATTGCTCGCTGCGCGCAGGCCAACCATACCTGTCACAAACACACTTCAGAAAAAAAAACTTGCCCCTGCATCTGGAACATGCGCTGGCGCCCCGCGACCACGTTGCATTGGTTTTTGGCAGGGGCGGCGGGGGTGCCGTCATATTGCTCGCTCTGCGCAAGCCAGCCATCCCTTTCGAAAACCGATACAAGACACGCCATGTCTCTACATCTGGAGCGTACGCGGGCGCCCCGCGACCACTTTGCTTTGATTTCTGAAAAGGGCGCCGTCATATGGCTTGCTGCGCGCAGGCCACCCATCCCTGTCAAAACACCATACAACATACACTTTGCCTCCACATCTGGAGCATGCGCGGGCGCCCCGTGGCCACTGTGCATGAATTGTTGACAGCGACGTCTGGGGTGCCGGCACTGTGTTAAAACGTGGGGCACGTGCCGCACCTGGCGCGCCTGGCTCGCTTGGGCCTCCAAGGTGCCTGGTGCACCTGGAACCCGTGGCGCACATGGCATGCGTGACGCTCCTAAGCAATCAGCTGAGACTCCTTAAGGTGTTACTTATGTGTTCGGACCGCAGGTGGGGATGAGCGAAACGGCTTGTGGGCGAAGGGGGGGCCTCGACCCCTCCCCCTTACCCTCTCCCCCACCCGGCCGCGAGGCGCTAGAGCTAGAGCCCCCAAGATGGCCCAACATGGCTCCAGGAGGGCCTCAAAAATCCCAAGATGGCCTACAAGATGGCTCAAAACAACTCGAGATGGATCACAAGAACCTCCGAAACACATCCAAGAGGCCTCAAGATGGCCCCAAGACGGTTTCATGTGCCCTCCAGGCCCTCCAAGGACTGGCTCCAAAACCCAGGGCCCCAAAACGGCCCCAAGATGCCATTCTTGAGCCTCCGAGGGGGGGCGCCTGAATGTACGCCGCCCTTCCCCTGTTTTTGAGCTGTGAACCCCAAATTGCCTCGAGAGGCCTCCCAGACCCCCCCCAAGAGCCCAAAGAGGACCCCAAGAGTGCCCCAAGTGGTTCCGCGAGGACCCCAAGGGAGTCCCACGATGGCTCAATGAGACCTCCGAGAAAACACTTCCAAGGCGGTTTTTGCACTGCATGCTTCTACACTTCCCTGATCAAGGCAACTCGCCTGGCGATCCAGTTCTGGATGGCCTGGTGGGAATACTTTTTGTCGCAACCGCAGGCGCGAGCGCCAGCGGCGAGTGCGGGCGGGCCGGCGAGAGGGGGGGTGCAAGCTGCAGCTGCCAGAGATCTGGCCCAGGGGCGCGCACATGTAAGTTAGCCAACCACGGTTGGAGCGCAGCCAAAATGGTGCGAGGTTAGTACCAGGGTGTGACCAGGGAGGCGGACAGCCAGTACACTGCGACGACTGCCACGAATGCCCAAACAGGTCCAAACTGGTGCATTGGGTGGCGCCACCAATGTCGCACACCAATTCCCCAGAGGGGAGTACTGATCCTGCGAACGTCCGTCCACGGAAAGCCCCAGGGACGGGCGAAGTAGCCAGGGGAACGATGGATGTAATCGACACCGTCAGCGCCTGAACCACCGGATCAGGTAAAGCCACGCGCACTCTCGAGCAGGAACCGACGACTGAGGGCTGACCGAACCAGGTGGATCCACGCCTCAACACCGGAACGAAGGAGCAAGTGGATGCCGTGGGCGTCGCCGACAGGGACCGTGGGACAAACAACACGGTCGGCCGACAGCCAGGAGCGCACAGGCTGAACCACGTGCACTCGGGAACCCCAGGCGCCCCGGGATGGGGTTGAGGCCTGGTGGGGATACTTTTTTGGTCGCGGCCGCAGGCGAGAGCTCAAGCGGCGAGTCGTAAGTCCGAGGCGCGGGCCTACTAATTGGCAACAGGAGCAAACTAGAGCCGCTCACCAGCGTCAAAAAATTCATACAAGACTGTCTCAGCCATAGACGTTCTAAGAACATTTCGCGCATACCACGAATAATGCGGCTCTCAGAATAATGTGTTCGGCGGCGCGCCCGGGGGAAGCGAGAATGAGAAGGCCCTTTCAGAAGGCGGCGGGGATTCTTAAAAACCCCCCCTGGCCTTCCGATTGCTGCCCCTCCTGGGAGAAGGCGCAGACCACTTCTCCAACGCCGCGGGCCCTCCGAGCCTTCTGAGGAGGAACGCTCCTGCTCCTCCTCCTCCTCCTCCTTCTCCTCATCCTCCTCCTCCTCGTCCTCGTCCTCCTCCTCCTCCTTCTCCTCCTCCTCCTGCTCCTCGACCTCCTCCTCCTCCCTCCTCATCCTCCTCCTCCTCCTCGTCCTCGTCCTGCTCCTGCTCCTGCTCCTCCTCCTGAGAAGGCCCGCTCCTGCGCACTTCCCCCTCCCGGGCGCCCCGCCGAAAAGAAGCCTGGCGAAGGACCAAACCATATGTTGTTGTGAGTACCGCAGTTGTGGGTATCGCCTTCGCTGGAGCTCCTTATGGGCCACGAGGCGCTGTACTGGGTGGGGGAGACCCATGTGGACACCGCCACTGCGACCTTAGGTGGAGCTCCATATGGGCAACGCGCTCCCCCTACAAGCGGATGTTGGACGACAAAAGTCTAAAGAGTCAAAGCATACCCAAATTTAACATCGTCCCCAGACTATTGTGTTGACTGTTTCTGAATTGTCCTCCTGTAGAGGGACCTGCCCGGCTGAAGCCTATGATGCACGCCCGCGGCCCCTGGCCTGGCCCACCCCTGAGACCCCAAAAATCTCGGATGGCACCAGCTTCTTCAATCCGGGCGCCCCTCTCGATCCGGGCCTCCCGGCGCGGAGGGGCGATGGACGCGTCGGCCCCGAGCCGGCGACACATCGGCGATGCGTCGGCCAGGAGCCCCCTATCATAGATCCGCACGTTCCTGGGCAAGTTGGGGCTCTCGGGCCCAATCGGCGATCAATGGACGACTGGGGGTCGATGCATCAAACCCCATTCCTATCCCCCCTACCGTTGCCCCTGATTAACCTTCCTCGACCGGTTTCCAGGTCCGAGTCGTAACTCGGGTATCCAGCGGCCTCTCGGGACGATCCAGACGCCCCTGACAACTCTCGGTGAGACGCAGCTGCTGAAACGCATCCCGATGCAGGAACACCTGCAGGCACCGAGGACACCGTCCGAAAACCCATTAATTGGCCAATAGTCCCCCGAACTAGAGGGGAACCAAAAATGCACTTCTTACAGACACGCCGAGGGCCCCGCGGCAGAGGAGGGGAGGGGGGGGAGGGAGGGAGGGAGGACGAGGGAGGGGGAAACACCTGCAATTAATTCTCACCCTGGTGGCCCGGGCCGCTCGGCCAGGCGCGCCGCGAGCGCTGCGCGCTGGGCACCAAAAGTGCACAAACACAAACATTCGGAGCTCCGTGCAGTGCCTCTGGCGCCGATCCCCGGTGCGCCAGGAAGGGGGGCCCAACGCCGATCCGAGACAGAAGCGGAGGGCCTCCACGCTGGCACAGACATGCGATAGAGGCATGTGGCATTGATTACCGGCGAAGCACATATAGTCGGGGCGTTGACCTAAGGAACCCTAAATAAGGAACGAGGCCCCTTTTTCCCATAAGTTCAACCTCGATTTCCGATGGAAAACTGCAGGAAAACCCGAGGCAAACTTTGAAACAATCAAGGAACACGGAGCCCCTCCCCAACGAAAAGGGTTCCTTCTTCAGCGCCCCGACTGCAAACATTCGGAGCTCCGTGCGGTGCCTCTGGCGCCGGCCCCCGGTGCGCCAGGACGGGGGCCCAACGCCGATCCGAGACAGAAGCGGAGGGCCTCCACGCTGGCACAGACATGCGATACAGGCATACAGTCGGGGCGTTGACCTAAGGAACCCCAAATAAGGAACGAGCCTCCTTTTCTCCATAAGTTCAACTTCGACTTCCGATCGAGAG